CTACAAATCTGCCAGGTTTCTTATACTTTCTTCCAATCACCTGTTTTTGCATTAAAATCTTTACATAACTGCATAATAAAAATTACAATAGTAGATGAGTAATAATAATACCTTCACCATGTCTCTACGTCATGGCAGCTATGCCATGGAGTACCACAGCGCTCCATTCTATCCCCTCTGCTATTTAACATCTATACAAAACCGCTGGGAGAGGTCATCAGGAGGTGTGGGCTGCGGAATCATCAATACGCTGATGATACCCAGCTTTACCTCTCGTTCTCCACTAATCCAGGTGAGGCAGTGGCTGTGCTGAACCGGTGCTTGGCCGAGGTAAGAGAATGGATGAGGGCAAATAAACTGAAACTCAACCCAGACAAGACGGAGGTCCTGTTGGTTGGCGGATCGGGTTTCGGAGAGGGTGGATTTGACCTGGTCCTGAATGGTGCAACACTCCCTCTTAGGGATAAGGTCCGCAGCCTAGGAGTACTCCTCGACCCAGAGCTTTCTTTGGAAGCTCAGGTGACAGCGGTGGCGAGGAACGCCTTCCTTCAGCTTCGGCTGATTAATCAGCTGCGCCCCACCTGGAGTACGACTGCCTGGCGACGGTGACACACGCGCTGGTGACTTCCCGCCTAGACTTCTGTAATGCGCTTTACGTGGGGCTTCCCCTGAAGACAGTCCGAACACTTCAATTGGTGCAAAATAGAGCTGCCAGGTTGCTGACGGGAACGGGGCGTTATGCTCACATGACTCCAGTCCTCCGTCAGCTTCACTGGCTTCCCATTGAAGCCCGGGCCCAATTCAAGGTGTTGATTATGACCTATAAAGCCCTAAATGGCTTGGGTCCTGGCTACCTGAACGAGCGCTTACGTCCGTATATGCCCGACCGCCCTTTGAGATCTGCGGGAGAGTCCCTTCTCTGGGAACCCTCCATGAAAGAAATTAGGAGAGTAAGTACTCGGAGGAGGGCTTTCTCTGTGGTGGCACCCAACCTATGGAATTCACTCCCCAAAGAGGTCCACCTGGCACCGTCGTTACTGGTTTTTCGGCGCCAGGTAAAGACCTTTTTATTTAAACATCATTTTAATTGTTAAAACATATGATCTGGCCAGGGCAACTTCTTCTTCCTTCTCTTTCTCCTCCTATATTTTTATTTACTTAATTTATACTGATAATTTTAATCTTATATTTGTAAACCAATGTATTTTTTGTATTTTGTATTTAATGGTAATTTATTATGTGCTATTGTATTTCATTGTATTTTATCATGTTGTAAGCCGCCCCAAGGTTTCGGCAAGGGGCGGCATAGAAATGTAATAATAATAATAATAATAATAATAATTATTATTATTATTATTACTGGACTTTAGGATTCTGGTATTTGTGGTTTGTCATTGTTACAGACAGGCTAATTCATACAATCAATATGTACAATTTTAAAATATTGAAGTGCATATAAACATTTCTATTGTCATCTCTCAGAAGCAGGTTTTAATGGAGCACCAGGAATCTGCTTCTTACAAAAGAAAGTTAAAATTGGCTGTGCCACATGCCCCACTGAATCAAAGATTTCTTGCATTAATAAGGGGAGAAATGTAAAACTTAATCTCACCCATGTCTCATTGGAGATAAATATTTTTATGGTCTAGTAAAGGATAAAACATTTGTTTTGCTTGAAGCTAGAACTGCAGATGTTCTTTCTGTTCTCCCCCTTTCCAGAGTTGGTAGGCTCACAATGATCATAGGTCAATCCTAATCTTTATCTTTAAACACTGGATTTTTTTCAGCCCTGCAATTTGTCAAACAGCATACATCCCCTCTTCTCAGCTACCTCCAAATCTGACATGGAGGTGAAATTTGTATCTCCTGTATTTGGGGAGCAGATGAAGTTGTTCAAGAAATGTCAGGAATGTAAAGAAGAACTGTTATCTCTTGAAAGGGCAAACATACAAATGAAGGAATTTATTTGAAGCAGTGGGCTTTCCTTTTAATTAAAATGAAATTTAGATGAAGGTGACTGAAAACAGTAAGTACTGTTTTTGACGTAAATGCTGCTTATTCCTCAACACATGTGGCTAAATTTATTGTAAAACAAATTTAGATCTTGACTGGGTTTACACAACAAAAGATTCTACCAGGAGCAGTCAGCTATGATGGGGTATCAGATCTGAACTTGAAGCATTTTCCAAGGATGGTTTATTTTTCAAGAAAAAAGTCATGCAAAGAACCCATGGCTTGTTGTAGGGTAATTCTTGTCCAAAATGGGTTATTGTGTCATTCAGGGTCAGGAGAATGGTTTTACTGGGAGTTGCCATGATCAGCTAGAGAACTGCAAGGCAAAGCAAAGAATCCCATGCTGTTCATTTGCCAATGACTGCCCTTACATCAGTGGTGAAATAGCACTCTGGAAGAATTGTCATGTACTTCCCATCTTGCTGTTGTTGCCTCAAAATTAACTGTTTGAGGGGATCATACTTTTCTGATAATGAGAACTAGCAAGGTTGCCTGCTAGCTAATTTATGCAAAGCTGCAATGCACTGGAAGAGAAATAACAGAAGTAAGAAAGAAGCAAAAGCACTGAAAATTGGTCCAGGGAGGAGCTGAAGGAATAATTGTGTCAAATGTGGGAATGGGATGGGATGTGGCACCTAGCAAGGTGATTCTCTTGTTTTAAAGTGTTGAAAAGCTGAAGGGCAATGAGAAATGCAGTTCAATATTTTCACAACTCTCCAGCTACTCCAGAGAGATGAGACATTTCCTACCTTTCATGGCTCCTTTTTAGAGCAGCCACTGCTGTGGTTACTGCAGTTCCCTAGACAGTTCCTTAAAAACTGCAGAAGAATATAAGCACATTGAATGGCTGGGAGGAAAATGGATGGAGAAATTGTGCACCTTCATTAACTGCACCACAACTGCAAGTACACAAATTTTTCTTCCACTTACTTCCTAGCCCTTAAATTCTTGTATATTCCTGAAGAGGTTTTTTTTTTTTTTTGAACTGTCAGAAAACCACAGCAATACGTTCTCTAGAAATGAACTATGACCGGGGTGTGGGGGAGTAAACCAAATGCAATGCGAGAAAGAGGGAGAGTACTGACACTGTCAGTTCAACACTCACAATCAAGAGGATTACACGCTAAGGGAGAAACTGTTCCGCCCCTTTTTGTGCACATTCTTGTGCTACTTCCTCCCCCCCTCCCCAGCCTTTACCAGTCCTTTTCAAATTACAACTTGGCAGCTGGTCCCTAGCAACTGTGAGCTAGTATAGTCTCACCACGTCGATCTGTTAATTAGTCTACTATGCTACCCCCTCTTTGACAGCTGAAACAAAAGAAAATTGACCAGGAAAACCTACATATATCAGGCAGACATAACAAGGCATATATGAAAGGCTGAACAAATGATAAACACGGTTGTACAATTTTCAGGGTTCAGAAATATTTTTAAAGATTGTAAGAATCCAACCACACTTTTTTGAAACGCTGAAGACACCCAGTCCAGTGGTTAATGAAAAGAGGAGGGAGAACTGGGAGACAGAAAAGAGATGGGTTCTGTCATAGCAGGCACTGGGCTACATGCCTGAATTCCTCTAAATTCAGTGAGACTAACTCCCAGATAAGAACTATAGAGCCTGCAAGACTAGAAATCACTCAACAAGCTCACACAACCTCTTTCTCCATAAAGGCCACCAAGCAAGCCCTAACACGGAAGTCAGCAAAGCCAAAGCAATCTAATCTCTGAAAAAAGTGACTATGGACCTCTTTTAATACTTTCATCTTCCTATTACATCCTACAGCTGTGCTGACATACGGAAACTGACCAACAGCTGTCATCTCTCTCAAGCATAACATGATTCGCTGTCTAACGCATGAGAGGATAAATCTTTCAGTATGGACACCATCAGAAGAAATTGCTTTCTAATGAAGAAACAAGATAAAATAAAATAGCTAGCCCTCCAACTAATGTATGAATAAGCTGAACAAGAAAGTGGGGACAGATTGTAATATTCTAGAATATCAAGTACAATTTTCTAGATATTTTCTGTGTAATTGTCTGCATTCATTTTGCATCATTTGTCCTTAAGATGTGGTAGTTTTCAAAATCATTGTTTAATAAATCAGATTTCAATGACATGAGCAGCCCAATTTAATGCAAGTTTATTCATAAATTAAATCAATGTATTCTCAAGTAAGTATGTATAGGGTTGCAATCTTGGAGAAATATACAAACAATTCTCAGGAAAATGTATCGACACAAAATGTTTGACTTGAATGTTTTAAGCAAACTTGAAACTTATTTGCCTACTTGTATAAATAAATCAAGGTGATAACTTTTTGCCATGATTTGCTAACCTATTCTCTAGGAAAAAAAGTATGGATCTTGTACAGGAAAGAAAAAGAAAAAGTTTAAACAGGATTAGTTTAAACAGGATTACATTCCATAGCAAATGCAAGAAACAGAACATTTCAGAACTAATTTTCACAGTCAATTAATCTATGTTCACATATTTTTACCATACTCAGGATTATATATTTGTGATGCGGCTGATAATGTGCCATGTAAAACAAAACCCCATAATAGAGCACAATTCTCTAAAACAGCTGAGCAACACAGAGCACATAAGCTACATGTGGTCCCTCCCCAAGAAAGCTGAAAGAAAAAGCTTTCTTTAGGGAAAATATGACATCTGCAGCAGATGTTGCATTTTCAGAGAACCAAGTTATCAATATTTGCAAGCTACATTGGATCATTTGGTGCTAAAATTTGTTGTAAACAAACTAAATTTATCCACAGAAGTTCTCTAATGCTATAAACATACACAAAAACAAAACAAAACCCAAAACCCCTGACAATTTGGCAAGGGTTGTTTTGGATACACAAAGAAGCCCTACAGATTGTGGTTTGCAATATTGTTAAAAAAACTGAATGATGTCCACCACCATGCTAGAGTGGCCCTACCACAGCTGACCCTTGGCATAATATAGTATAGAATACGTTACCATGATGTGTGGAACAAATGACCATTAACTCATGGGTAACATCTCCAGATCTCCTGACAGGAATTAGCAGCTCACCAACATCTTCTTCTATTCTGTATTCTGATCCAGGAATGTACACAGTTGATTCTGGAAAGGAGTGGAAAAGTAATTTAATAGATCAATTAAATATTAAAATAATTTAAGATTCGAGGAAGCACTGTTTATATTTCTCCAGCTCCAATGAAATCAATGTGAATAGGATTACAACATATTTTATAAGGAAAAAAGAATAAAGAAAAATAATCAACAGACAAAAATCACATACCATCACCAGGATCCACGATTTCCACTGTTGCTCTTTCTGGAAATTCCAGAGCAGCCATAACCGGATCTGACAAAATAATCTGGAAGACCTCTGATTCCTCATATTCATTATCTGCCATTACCCTCACTCGCCAGGTAGCTACGGTCTGACCTGGGTTGAACTGAACTTGTTTCTGAGCTTTCCCTTTGAAATCCTTATCCTTTTCAGCTGTCCCATCTTTAGTCCCAATGCCTGAGAAAATATTTGGAAGGAGAAGCAATAAAGAAATTTAAAAAATTATTTTCATCCCTTCAAAAAATTGCTTCAAAGGAAAAAAATCTTTGAAATACTTGTAAAATTCCCCTTAGCTCTGTGTCATCTTTTCTCAGAAGTTTTTTTAAAGTATCTTTTGCTCTATATACAGCCAAAATGACTTAAGGACAGTTAAACCATATGCCTAAAAAAAGAGAGGCATAAAATTCATAAATTAATATTTTTACTTGTATAATTGTTGTATGTATGTATTTTATTTTTATTGTGAGCTGCCCCGAGGCTTTGTTGCAATGGGGGCAGCATAAAAATGTTTTAAATAAATAAATAAATTGTGGCTGGTCTTACTCAAGTGACCAGATACAGAGAAAGTACATGATATAATCTGGAAACATTCCCAGATAGTGCAGCATTGTGATTAGTACAATCAGTAAGTGTAATCTAAGTAGGCAGGCAAGTTTTGCCTTAGGACAACTTACTGACAGTGAATTAGATGTATTCAGAGCACTTTTTTCAAGCCTGGTTTGACTGAACCATTCTCCTCATATGCCATCATCAGGATAACTGATTTTTGAACATCAGAGATCATCAGAGATCATATTAAATATCACTGGATGGTTTTCACAATTCATATGGTTAAAAATCTGTGTTGACTATTTGACCAGTAGGTGTGAAACACACTGTCTCTAGACTGCAGATTTAACAAAGATGATAATCTAACGGAAATCAATAATTATCTGGAACGTTATGACAGATATTTGCCCATCCCACACAGGGGTTTTAGGGGTTTCAATTCTGTAACACTACTTGTACATGAACTTTATATGTGGAAAGTTTCACTTGCCCAGCTTTTGTCAGTTGCTCCTTAATGGATGTATTATGTACTTCTTACATCTTTAAGAAGAAACTGACAAAAACAAACCAAAAAAGCAAATATTGATCTAAATTCTGAGATTATAAAATTCCAGTTTTCCTCAGTTCTGTTTAATGGGAACATTTTGACAGGAAACTTTAGAGAACAGAGATGTTATATATTTAAGTGGTTTTAAATTCTATTTCTGTAATACCAGTGATATATTGAAGGCTTATCAATATTTAGAACAGACCTAAACAGTGAAATCTTTTATTTTATGGAAAACCCATGAATGGCTCCCTAAAATCCATGAAAAACTCAAAAGATTGAAATTAATTTCTCAAAAGCAAAGTAAGATTTGATTTTATCCATAGTCAATTCTATCAAAGCTTTACACATACAGAAATGCTATTTAATTTACATTTTCAAGGCTTGTTTCACTTCTGACTTGCAAGAGAAAAAATGTAATTTCACTGTTGACTGTAATTTTAAGCAAGAAGAACCATGGGAATGTCAAACTGTGCTCACAACTGATATGAAGCTGCATTTTGAGTTTGTTAATGTCTAATGTTTCTGCTCGGCTTATTTAAGTTACCATGCTAACTTAAATAAGTAAACTATTTGTGTTTTAATTTATGGTTTGACACCATCAAGTAGGAAACTTTACCTTTCTGAGCAAGAATAATAAACCTTTGTCATGCTGAAACCCTTGCCCAGGTTTGAGAAAACTTGATATCCAGTAAGAAGCGCCTGGGAGCTGTGAGGTGTGAAAGCCTTTCCACACAAGGAGCCGCAGTACTTACACTTCAGACCTATTTAGAAATGCTTGACGTGATGCTCAGGAAAGCCTGATTTGGTATTAAGCCTCTGTTCTGCTAGGATTGTTTTTAAATACTTGTTCAGTTAATAGGCATTTTTTAAAACTGTCAACATGACTTATGAGGAAGAGAGGGGCCTGGCCAGGCAACCATTACAGATTTACTTCCTGACTTACTTCTGCATTGCCCCTTATTGCTAATGAGGTAACCAGCTATCTTCACCTCTCCTGTGAGGAATTTTCCTAGGCTGTGCCAAGGAAACTTTTCCTAGGAACTATATAAGTCAGCACTGTTCCTTCTTTGTTGCCATGCGTTTTGCTATGCCTTAAAGCAACCTTCCTCAGACTGGTATCCTCCAGATGTATTGGGCTGCAACTGTCTGAGTTCCTGACCATTTACCATGCTAACTGGGGCTGATGGGAGTTGCAGTCCAAATCCTCAGCAAGATATTGGCTTGGGAAAGGCTGGATTAACAGAGGGTCCTTCTAGGGTCTTTCAGTTTCCATAATCTGAACTAATGCCATGTGTCAGAAACACAGAACAAGAACTGGAAATATAGCAGATTTAATAATCCAAGCACAGGGTCTCATCCACTGATTTATTTATTCATTCATTTAATTAAGGCATTTCTATTATTAGAAATAGATCAATTATTCAAAAGACTCTCCAGATTAATCTACTTTGCCTTATTAAGAATGAATAAAACAAAAGTAAAACAAATACTTATTTCTATCCTGTCTTTGGCATATGGAAGGACTATCCATTTTACACTGGAAGCAAACTAGCAGTATTTATTCTCTAAATATTTCTATAACTTTCTGTCAATCTTGGGCACCAAAGTGTCTGTGCATACTTGTCTTGGCACCTGCAGCATTCCTTGCCTCTCCTGATTTTTAGCTTACTTCTTAAGATCGAAACTGGCATGCTGCAGAGCACATTATTTCTCTCTAGCATAATTTATTTTGGCAGTTCAAAAGAGCAGCTTGTACATAAATGCTCAGACTCTGACTCTTCCTTCTACCTGGGTTCTTGGGCAAGTTACTTTTATTTTCCAAAGCAATCCAATAGAAACCCCCAGAAGTTTCTCCCAGGGGGCTGTAGAATTCTTTGGATACCCAGATCCAAGGTTGGAAAAGCAGTCTGGCCTTGGTGCTGGAAATCTGTTTTCCTATCTGCAGCAGCTGTCTCAGCAAGAACACACTGCTGCTTCTCCAAGTAACCTCATAGAAGGGGTTAAAAGACATGGGGGTGGAGTGGTGTGGGAAGGGAGGGGACTGGGGCTGCCAGGGTATGAGGTATCCTGGTGGCACTCCAGCCTACTTCCTTCCATGTCCAAAGTGCCAAATTGGCCATCCTTTTCTCTTCTGGGTTGGAAAAAAGTGGAGGCAAAAACTGCCGCAGTTGGTCTTTGCCCTCCTTTGTTCAGAGGCTTACAGGCACACCACTGGATTTTTCCCTTACAGTTTCTCTACATGAGGCTTTTAACCCAGGATTTCAACATCACTTGACCAAAGCGTTTGCCTTCAGATTCTTTGCTGAGTTAGATATGCTCCTTTACATGGATTTTTGTTCTGTTCTGTTTTCTTTCTTTGCCTTTCTATGTATTCCATCACACAGTCACAAAATAACATAGCAGTATTTCAGAAATACATGAGATTTGTATACCACTTCATTCTGCCACTTTCAAAAAATTAAACACTTTCCTCATCCTAAAAGAACAAAAACCATGAAAATGCTTGGAAAATGTGTGTGAAGCCCTTGAAGAGGACAAAGTTGTAAATAGCACCTACAAACTACTATGAGTGAGGAATCATGAATGCATAATAAATACAATGTGCAGAGGCTCCTCTAGTTTGCCTTCTGAGAAATGAGTATTTTAGACCAGCCATGACCACTGTGGCAGAGTGATCACAGACAGCATGCACATGGATAGAACTAAGAGCCAGTGAGATTCCCTGCCTAAACCAACACACAATCCTATTTTGTTGGGACCAACCCTAGGCTCTTGTAAGCTTGTTTATTCACTAAAAACTGACTTCTATAATTTGATGTGAAAATTGCTCCAATAAAGCTTTCTCCATTTTGAATTTGAATCTCTGCCTTAGCACCCAGTAACTGATGAGTCATATGAAGAAATAGGGATGATACAAATAAGGTGTACAGTTAATGTGAGAACAGTGGGCAGTTTACCTTCCCCACTTAATAAATCGAATTTATTTCTGCAAGGTGTGTTCACCTGGCAAGGCTCCAGGTGAGTGAGAATGTTCCTTTTCTCAGATTTGTACAAGTGGACCCATTTGAAGATTTCAAAGCACAGTTGTGGAAATGAACATGTTACTGCTCATCCCTGGCCATACAATAACTGTATGGGTGGATGACACTCAATATATTTTCTGTTATTTATGTTAACAACACATACTGGTACACTAAACATTTTCATCTGAATGCCATGCTTTTGCACCTTTAGCCTTAGGAGCAAAGATGCTTTGAAATCTCTGCTTGTCCCATGCACTGAACAGTGGCTGACTGGAATGTTCCACTTCACATTTATCTTAATACTTGCAAAAAGCATCTGATAAAGAAACCAGCATTTCTTATTGACACTGTCTCTGTTTCTTACAGGAATTTACTTGGCCACAGTTTAACAAAGGCAGTTAAGATATTTTGCTGAAGATATAAAAGCTTACTGATTTTTCCTTGAAACTTTAAACATTAAAGATTTTCTGGTTGCAAACATGGCAGGAAACAGTCACTGTAAATTATTGCTGCTTACGATCAATAGTCATTGCCTCATTTTTTAAGGTCACATAACTGAACGAGTGTAGAAAAGTTGTAAGTTCATTAATCAAATATTCTTAAGGAATAGGGTTAGGTTAGAAAGATTTCTCTGCCAAAGCAACTTGTGCATTAACTAATGAAATCAATGGGTAAATCCACACGTCATGACAACCCATCTTAGCAATAAACCACAGCAGGTCAGTGACTGCACCAACTGGATTCACTGTAGTTTGTTTGCCCATGTTCTCCCCATCCTTCCATTCCCACAGGGATCCACGTGGAGCCTGAGGCAGGATCCGTTTATCTGCCTCCTCACCTCCACACAAGTTCATTTGTTTCTTTCACTGAACCTTTGTGTTACTTTAAACTTTTTAGTTTTCATATTGTGAACTTCATCTTGACAGTTGGTGTTTGTAATCTCCATTTTGAGAGCCATTTGCAACCCTCTGCCCAACCGGTACACTGGAGAGGCTGTCCGTAGAGCAACTGGGCATCTTTTCAATTGCCTAAGTGTGGCTAAATCTTTAAAAACTAAAAAAAAAAAAAAAAAAACCCGCACACACTGCCATTACGGAAAAAAACATGCTAACCACTGACAGGCCCTTGGACACTTTGAAGTGATGGTCAGACCAGACCTGCACATACTGGCTGCCAAGCCAGAGATGTTGATCTCCAGGGGGTAAAGCTGAAAGGGAAAAGTACTGAAAGGAACTCAAAGGGCTTGCAATAATGGCAGGGGACACGCAGGACTGCTTGGGAACTTGTGGGGTGGCTTATTCCACAGAGGCCTAAGTGAGCTTGTAAGTGGGGCAGGCAGGTTGCCGTTTCTGCCAAGAGGCTCACTGGCTGGTTCAAGGTGCCCATGATGAGGTAGGTGCCCAGGCTCAGGTAACACAGCAACTCAAAACGAGTTCTGCATCTCCCAGAACAAACTGTGTGTTGACAAGATAACTTCTTGTACTCAAGCTATCCTGCAGGAAACAGTCCGGATTTGCACAATGTGACAACTCATCATGGCTTGTAACCCTCATTGTGCTGTCCTGTTGTGTGAATCCAGCCAATGAGTAATTTGAATCAATATATTGCCTGGAAAATCTAAATGAAAAGAAAGTAATTTCCCAAAGTAGTCATGAGAGAGCTCAGTCTGTTATCATGGAACTACTAAAAACTTGTGCCTTCATTGTTTGGGGTGCTGTTAAAACCACTCTGCTGTAGCAAACTGGAAGTCTGTAGAAATACCCAGCACTGAGAAGACAACTGAGCAGAAGGCAAGAAATGTTTAAATGTATTCTTAACCATATCACTACAGGAAGACACTAAATATCAACATCTCATTGCATTCACTGGTGTCATATCACACACTAAAAAAATTTGAGAGCATTCCCAGGGCATTTACAAATTGCATGATTTCTGTAAAGAAGTTGCATGGTTTCATTCTCAATATTCAGATAAATTAATGCCATACTCACTAACAAATGATGTCTCCCCTAGATATCCTCTGCGCTTGAGAGTTACCTCCAGAGTTCTTGAATCCTCATCTACAATATAGTACTCTTTTTCCAGGGAAATCCAAGCCCAGTTTAAACGGAATGGCTGGCTCTTCAATTTGTTTCCTCCTAAAATTTGATAAATAACATAATATCATCATATAGAATATGTAACCCAAAGGAAGTCCTGAATTCATCAAATATGTAATATAAATTAGCTCATATACAATATGTATACACTATGCATTTTTGTTTTTATGTTTTTTGGAACATCCAATTAATTCTAGAAAAAATAATTCTGTGGTTAATTGACCATAATGTTTCTTCAGGCAATTTCATAAAAGCACTCTACATTTCCTTATCTGAATCCAAGGGTGGCTTCACATCTTACTGATGAAAACTGAACAAGTATTGCAGAAAGCACCTTTTCCAGTCTTATGCTTGCCAAGGTAATGGGAACATGGAAGCAGGGGAGGCATTTACAGATCGGAGTAAGTGGGCAGGGCAGGGTAGCTGAGCCAAGACATTCTGCTGTCTATGGCAAAGAACAGGATGGCAATCCCTCCCTTTCCAGGCATAGGAGCAGGCTGGAATGGCAGATTAATCCTTCTTCAGCACTAGCAATGGACAGCATCTTTCACAGCCCCAAAGGAAGTGAGCTTGCTTAGAGGGGATGAGGCAGGTTGCATGGCCCACTACTCTCTCCTCTGCTACTGTGAGGTGGTAGGAAAGTATCTGCTAGTAGAGGCAACTCCTTCGCTCTATCTAACAGTAGGACCAGCCCAGGTACAATTGTTCCCATTCTGAGACTTTCTGCATAAATACTTTCCATGGCACCTCACTTAAGTTACATCCAGGTACTAACCTCAGTACAAGTGGAAAAAAAAAAGTTGATTTAAAATGACATGGTGGGATATGTCAATCAAAAAAATGGTGGTTGTGAGAAGAGCTAAGCATCCATCCTTATTCACCAATTTCCCATTGCAAGATCCTGTGCCACACTCTTGCGTTAGTTTTCACTGCCTGTTGTCTATTAGCCCTACAAATAAATGTCCTGCTCTTGGCAGGCCTGGCCAGCTCTTGTAAACTCACAGCTGTGGCTCCCTTTCTGGAATCAATCTATTTCATATTTGGAAACTCACTTTACACTAATAACAGATGGGGCTGTTTTTATGCTGTCTGTGGTGGCTAAGTGAGTTTATAATATAACTAAGCATGCAGTCCTTGATGCATGCAGCCTAGATGGAATGAGAGGCAGTGCCAGCTCTCTTGGAGATTCATGTGCCCTGCACCTCATCTGGATGGCTGTTTGTATAAGCCATTGGCCCAGGCCACAAAGTTCCTCCACACTAGCTTCCAAGGGCAGGGGGGTTATGGCTCGGAATACTCCTAAGGCCACACAGACAATCTCAGGAGGCCACAGGACGGCAGAATTATAGCTTTGCTGCTCTGTGCTGGATGTAAGACAGGGATGGCTGCCTTGGTTGCAGTTGCTAATGAAGCAAGGCATCAAAGCTGACAGTTTTAAATGTGATTAGTAACTATTAACTGTTCCATAACAAAGATAATTGGTCAGAGGCTCTGGCCAGGAGATTTAAAGAAAAAGTTGTTTTGGAGACAGGGTTACATGATTAGTGGCTGGCCAGAATGATGGAAGACTACAACAAAGGAAGAGGGCTAGTTGCTGAAGGTCAAGCTATCAGAACAGTTCTGTGCAATATAGCCTGGAATCTAAGAAGAGCAGGATGTTGTGGTGAAGTTAAACGCAAGAAGCAGAACGTGGAACTAGACAGTTCCAGGCACTGGTCTGATCAGAGGAACTTCAGCTTAATGTGTGCCTCCTAGGGATGACAGACGTTGCAAGCTCCTCATGACAAGTGTTGTCTCTGTTCTCTTGACAAGTTGTCTGTTTCTCTCTCCCAACTCCATTTAAAAGGAGACAACTCCATGAGAAAATCATCTTGAGCTTCAGTGCAGGCAAGGAAAAATGCACTCAGTGTTCAGAAATGCTACTGATACCCCCCCATCCTGATTTCCCCTGAAAATCAAATGCCAGATTCAGGCAGGAAATGAGGGTATTAACAGAAATAAATTGATTTTACTATCCCAAATAGTGGTTCACATTACATGGCATTGCTCTAAATGATGTCCATTTATCTCCTGGTTCAGTTATTAGATGCAATACAGCACTGCAAATGCAGGGAGTTCATGTTTGCATTCAGAATAGGCAATAAAGAAATCCCATCTGCAATGCTTGTTTAAATAGTATGGAAGATCTTGATAAGGGGTAAGTTCTTTAAGATAGTTTCCAAAGGGTTAAATTAATGCAAACCTTCAGAGACCTTCAGTATGGAAGTTAAATGACTTTTTGAAGTTTTCTTCTCTGATTTGTGAAATTTGCTCTGAAATTTTTCGTAGATTTCTTTCAAATGATTAACTGAATAGTAAATAAACCAAATCAGCTAAGAACCATTAATCATTAGCAATTCAAAACAGAAAACTTGCAGCATTAACCATGATAGAGTTCCAAAGGAAAACAAAACATGGGTCATTGTTTGATACAGTGAAAAGTCACACAAATGGGAGTAGGTTAAAAATAAATGGAAATCAAGTGACCCACCTTGCACATAATTATTAAACACACTACCACAAAGCCAACATTGGCTACAACTCAAAGTTGTTACATATTTGTTTTAAATACAGCAATAAAAAGAGCAGTTATGACCAAACTAATGTGACTAGTATACATGGCTGAATGGAAATAGAAGATCAAATTCTCAAGCCGCCTTCAACTTTCTTCCTATGCACTAATTTTAAAAATCCATATTTGTACTCACATAGCCAGTAGTACTATTCTGGAACAGGATACATTACACTCACTAAATGATGGAAGGAACGATAAAGTACTGGGTGAGATCCAACTTAGTAATTCTGTTAAGAGCAGGATCTACCACTCATACAAGGATAGCTATGTTTACTGCAGGTATTATTTAAAACCTGTATCTGCTACACAACAGTTTCCTTAATTCCCCCAAGCCAGCACAAAGTGACCAGTGACACCAAACCTTTCAGAGACCGAATGCCCAGACTGCAACCCAAAACCCACTTATTTATCGCAAAGTGCCAACACTACAATAAACCTGAAAACTGAGGTTTTAGTTTAGAAAAAACACCTCACAGCCAGTCCAAGCAATATATATATATATATATATTGCTTGTGACATCATCGCCTGGCACAGCTACTCCTTTCCGAGCATGCGCATGACCCCTGTGTCCGATGTTATCCAATGCTCGGCTGCTGGGGCGATGCTGGGGTGACCTGGCTTGCGCGCTGGCAGAGAGGGCTCTGCATGCCCACTGTGGCACGAGTGCCATATGTTCGCCTCCACTGTCCTAGATTGTACATCAACTTGTATCTCCTTTAGAAATACCCTGTCCTGTAAGACTTCCAAGTAAATGTAATCTTGTTATACCAGGAACTCCACTTAATAATACGCCCAGATTTCCAAAGACAAAAATAGTTGACCTCACTTAACAGACCAATATAAAGGGATGTAATTAGTTATGAAATTCCATTCTAGTTAAGCCACTCCTCTCAGCATGTTCAAATTCAAGAATCCCATCCCATTTCCAATCTGCAGAACTGTAAATAACCCATCCTTACATTTTATAGAAGAGTACTGGACTTTAACTAGTAAAAAAAGAGCTGGTGAGAAGCCCTATCATATCTGTTTCAGAGATCTGATACTCTCCTTTAACTAAGATTACAACAGATGCATGATTATATATAGCTGTATATACAATAAAAGCTTTGCACAGACATTAGGGGTCTTGTAATCCATCAGAACTGTTCTATGTTCACAGTCACTTGGAAATGTTAATATCTTAGTACGGTCATTTACAATTGTTGATAGAACAAATTCTTTCTACATGAGCTATGCTGTGAAATGCAAAGAAGAGTTAGTATTTATTTTGATAACAGCAAACTGAGTTACCATATCCATATATGAAAGAACAGAATTCAAATTATCATGCCTCCAGATTTAAATATATGCTGTGAGATAATGTTTTTCAATAGGCCTAAACGCTGACTGAAGAGCCAGTGCATCCAGTAACACAAGTCCACATGCGCAACATTCTTTCTGCTTGGCACACCTCCCACCCCTCTTTTAATATGGTGCCTTTGAGCAGATGCTACAAAGAGTTTATTAGAAACTAAGCTGTTAAAAATACAGTAATGATCTTTTTGATCAATGACAGCATTTCATACATATATCCTATCATATTACTTGGATCATCTGTCCTAATTTGCTGTATTATTTTTCTTCAAGCCAAAATTCAAAAATTCTCACTTCATGACCACTTACCCTGCCAATATGCCACAGTGAATTTTCACCCCCTCCTTTTCCCTTGGTCTTCCTGCAGTTATAACAGGGAACACCATGGAAGGACCAACTCATATCGCCCTTCTCACTGTGATGATGAACCATATTATCTTACTGCAGCTTTTTTCCTTCTATTATATTTTTCCTTCCTGCTGAACAATAAGTTTGGCTTTCAGCTGCTTTCACTATCCTCATTTTGAAAGGCCCTGACAGCCCCTTCAAAATACCTGAGGAGCAGTTTGATGCGGTTGTCAGTGGATGGCACTGTAAATGTTTTTTAAGAGTCCCCCCCCACACACACACACACACACATATCACGTGCATGAAGTGTTACAAAAGAGGTGCCACGGCACAAATGCGGAAACCAGGACCATCAGTGCTTAATGTTGAGGTGGGGGCGTCCGCTGCCACAATGCATCAGGTATCAGCTCTAGGCATGAACACCAAGAGGGTCCTAACAGGCTTTTCTCTTCCATTCATGAACAAGGGAGAGCAAAGGTGTGAGTGATCTTTCTCATAAAACTGGGGTGGTGGGATTTACACCCCCTTCACGATGACATCCGCATCTTGTTTAATTATGCTTTCATTCTTTCCTTTCCCTCCTTCCTTTCATGTTCTGACTATCCTTATTGTGATGCACATTTTGTGTTTTCCCCCAAGACTCCAGCTGCTTAGGAAAATACAAAAATGTATCCTACCCTGCCCAATTTAAAACACCTTTTGGCAGGACATTGGGTTTTCATT